TGACGCGTACACTGTCCAATTAATGCTCAAACCGGCCGGCTTATAGCCAATCACGTTCGAGAATTTTGTTATAGTTTTGATTAAAGGAAAAAACACCGTTGTTATTAAGGAGGTCTTTTAACACGTGTTGTGTTGCATTCAAACCAATACTTGCAGAAGAGTGGGGAGAGTGGTAATCTCGAAAGGCGTATTTTGAACTTTGCCACTGTCTCAACACTTCGCGATAGAAAACTGGGAGGTTGATAATTTGCAGGGAATTGATATCGTGGCTGCAGTATGTCAGAAAATAACAGTCCTCCTAGAATCTGCAGAGTAACCTCTGTAGCTACCATTGCGCACGTTGTGCGGACCTGTGTATGACGTAACGTGTTTGCTTCACGTGCTATGAAGCATGTGGGTTGTCTTTGATTTGCGATCCGCCATGTTGTTGTTTTTGAAGAACATTGGACATTTGTACTTGGAACGAAACAGTCGGTAAGGGTTGCATTCGTATAATTTCGCTCTTTTGGTTCCCGTACTTAGTTACTTCCTTTTGATGTTTGTAGAAAACCTGGACTAGATGAACCTAAATCGCTAAAATTGGGCTGATCGAAATGCTTGTCGCAGTACTTTAGCTCGTGGATGTTTGGATTTACAAGTGGATTTATTAAAATTAAAGTTCTGAGTTTTCGACGTTTATTTACATGCAACATAATACGTAGCACCTGGGCTTCGTAACAAATCTTGCCACGCACCACTGTACAACGCTTCTCTCTATTTCAATTTTTTCTAAAAAAAAATGCTTTGATGAGTTACTTCAGAGGTTTGTTTAGCCATATGACAATTATAAATCGTTCGATAAGCATTTCCTTTCTCAAACAGCGAGGAGAACTATCCCATCGATCGATCGGCGTGGGTACTTTATTTAGTCATTTTTATTTAGTTATTTAGTCATTTGGCCGTTTAAAGTGCTATTGTTACCTATTGTCATCTATTGGTGACGGCGTGAGAGCCCGAGATCCACTGCTCATCAAGACAATTTTATCTCTGTTCTTTGTTTCGTTACTTTGTTATTGTTTCTTATTGGCAATTGTTTAAATTTCTCACTTCTCCAAAACAGGGTAATAGCTATACGGTATAATGCGATCTTGGGAACAAGTAGTTTTCAAAAGGATGCAACTATACCTTGCAATTAAAGAGCGCTAAAGAATAATTGCAGTAATTTGTTTGTCAAGCACGCGGCGTCCGCGAATTGTAAATTCCCTGAGGACTAATTTCATCACACGCCGCGCTTAGAGTTCAGTTGGCGAGCGTAATTAAAGCAGGTATCGCGCGACTGGGTGCGATAGAAAAATATATGGCGGGACGGAGAAAAAATTGTGTTACGCTCTTTTGCATTGCAGTTTGGAAAGTGAACAAAATTGGTTTTTACGGAGGTTTCGGAGGTGGCTCAAAAGTGTGCTGAAAACGCTCATAACATTTATTCTACAGACCACAAGCCGTTGCGGGGAAAGACTCTTGACACGATCAAGATTTAACGCAGCTGTCGCAGATGCGTGGTTTTCTACCAAATGATCATATGATCATAAAAAGTATTTCGGAGCAATCGGGAATGCTCGGAACTCTATTGTCTGTTGACAACTTGTACAGTTGATGGACAGTTATTCCACTGGGTATTCGCAGCTCCTAGAAATTTTGTGTAAATTTGCATTTGTAAGAGACAACCCCAACCAATTGGAGGCCATTGAGAGCCCTCACGGGAGTTCTAGGGAGACAAGAGTAATTTATGCCAGTAAGTAAGTATTTCTCCTACAAACAAAAGTCATTCTGCGCCATGGATGCGTGCGATCGAGCACGGCTTTTGAATACTGATGTGTTAAATTGAACAGAACATAATAAAAACACAGGCAAGACAATCGAAAGTGATTTAGGCTCCGAAATAAGATGCATCGTTTATTTGAATAGGACAATCACATGAGTTTTGGAGGCATACAATTTATTTGTGGCCCAAGTAGCATCGTTTGCGCGTATTGATAATAATACGGCTATTTGTCAATTGTTTTATCTTTAGTTGGTTAATTCTCATTTGCGTTCCATATCAGGCGATGTTGTGTCAACATACATCTCTAAAAGATGGAAAGGGTTATGAAGGAATGGGTAACGGGAAAAGGGGAATCTCTAAAACGGGAAATATCTTTGTTTTGTTCAGCGAAATGAGGAATACACTATGAAGGATAAGATGCAAGCCCAGGTAAATGCTATTGTTATACTGCTTTTTACTTCTGTTCTCATGTTTTACAGGTTTCAATTACATCGCCCCTCAAGTATGGGGGTCCGAGTGGTGGCCTTTCTGTTTTTAGTTGGTCTCTTGCTTTCGAATGCTGCCTTACACGCTTGGGGATTACTTGATGACGTTATACTGCGGGACAATCGTTTGGTCGCTATTTACAAGGATGTCTCCGACGAGCTGGTGGAAAGGTCAGTGGTTGACCCCGCTGACGAACAAACGGTCCAAGAGTATCTGGACAGAGCAGTGGTTCAAGAGAAGGTCAAACGAAGCTGGGATCAGCTAAAGGCAGGTGCACCAAAGACAGTCACAGAAACAACAACGCCTGGAGGTGGAAAACAGGTCACATTTGAAAAAACTGGAGTAATATCTCTAAAAGGAGTATTTCAGTTTATGCAGTATTATCCTCTTCTTTACGGCAAAGAAACAAACCCCACAGAATTTAAGGTACCAATCGGAAGCGACGATTATACGTTTAAACTCGCCAATAAAGGCGACGGGACCTTTTCACTACACGCCGTACGCTCCGGCACGGACGTGGATTTGTCTAATCTTCAGGACCCTGTTAAGACTCTGTCTGACTCCAATCTGAAGGCGGCCTTAAGGAAGACGGTACAAGATGTGTCTTTACAAGCGTTAGATGCAAATTTAGACAGTCAGCCCGATTTTAATGCGGAACTACTGAAACAAGACAAAGAAAAAACAGTTTCCTCCAACGAAAGGGATAAAGCCTTCAGCGCAGCCAGAGATTTTATGGTTGGAACTGCTGTCCGAAAGAGCAAATTAGCCGGTCTAATTCCACCGCCTTCCGATTGGCTCAAGACGACAAGCGAGGATATTGGTTCAAAAATGTATGAAGTAAGGGAGCAGCTAAGCAAAGAGATAGCGGCCGAAGGGGAAACAAAACTTAAATTTGAATTAACTCAGAGCCTGCTCCAAAGCAGGGATGAGGCAATTGATAGGTGGAAAGAATGGACGACCCCCGACAAGACAACAAATAAAAGAATTATTGAAGATGAAGAAGTCACAGAAGGAAAAAGCAAAGTTAGAAGAGTGATAGTTCACGAATCTGATAAGGTTCCCCTAAAAGAGGTATTCAGAACATTACAATCTTATAACGACATATTCGACACTCAAGGACTCAAACAAACGAGGTTTGAAGTTCCAATTGGCGGAGAGAAAAGAAAATTTCGTTTGAGCAAGAGTCGACCACGTTATGGTAAACACCAGATAGCGGTATATACTAATGATGCTGATTGGCCTGGTACTTCGAAACGAGGCAACAAAGGCAAAGGTGGTGTAGTGCCAGCGTCTTACGATACATTACTAGATGATGTCCTTAAGCCATTTCCTGACCATGATAAGCTAGCAACGTCTATGCTAGAGGCTGTCGATAGCAATCTTGATAAACAACCTGACTTCTCCACAGATTTAAAAATCCCAAACAACGACCTCGAGACCGCAGACACCATTCGAGCTGCTACAGAATTTCTGACTATTTCAATGATTGCAGAAGCAGCTCGGCCGTTGGATGAGGTCAGAGCTAAGTTTTTAAAGGATCTTGCTCAGAAAATAAGAGATGAAAAGACGTTTCCAGACAGTATTCCCAACCTGGCAGATTTGAATGGAGTTGATAAGTCAGGAAGAAGTCCAACAATGGACACTTACGTTCAAGGGGTGCTAAAAAACCTTCCAAGCAAACAAAAACGCGTAGACGAAGAGTTTAACGATGCTGACTATCCCGTAAGAAAAAAAGGTGTTGGAGCAAACGAAGGACGCAAATTGCTACATAATAAGGGCAGTGAGACAGTTCCCTCATATCTCATCCGCAAACGAGCTGCTGGAGATCACGATGGAGAGGTCATTGCCGAGAAGGTCGCAAAATATTGCACAGGGACGAGACGTCGAAGAAAGCGCTTTGCCTGCTCACTAGGTAATAAAGACTCCTCTGCAACTGTCGATGAGAGCTCCATTAAAGTTAATGAAGACAAGGTGGAGTTTGACGTGATAGATCGTCGCGATGCCAAAGAACGTGAGCACGTGCAGTTAGAAATAAGCCCTGAAGAGCTGGCTACACCCAAGCTGATTGAGGACAAGTTATCAAAATCGAAAAGGTCTGGAGCTACCGAGGCTTACTCCAAGGTAAATAAAGGTCTAGCTGTTCACGGTCTGATATTTTCCGTTCTGGGGGCTGTAAACTACTTCCAGGAAGGTGATAACCTTCGAGGTGCCATTTCCGTGGCTCAGTCTGCCCATACACTTGGAGGACTTACCGGGCTCAATGAGATAGTTTCCAAGGTTGGAAAACGAGTTATAAGTAGTGCAACTAAAGGGTTAGCAAAAGGTCTGAATTTAGAGAAAGGCTTGGAAAGGTTATCTACCAACGTTGAACGGTTTGCAGAGAGAGGAATCGGAGAGTTACTTGGCGACATCCCTGTAGTAGGACTTGCATTCGATATCTACTTCATTGAACAAGACATAGAGCAGTTGGCTAAGTTAAATCTTAATAACCCGGCAGACCTCAAAATATTACCGTTACGTGTGATCGATTTAGCACTTGACGTTAGCACGACTGTGCTGAGCCTAATAGGCACGTTTTGCCCGGAAGCGGAAGTCATTACAGAACCTCTGGTGATTGTCCTCTCAATAATACGAATGGCCATTGACGACTTTTACATCGACATTATGGCAGAAATGGAGAAAGTGAATTGGAAAAGTCCGTGGGCTGGGTTGGAGTTTCTTGCAGCCTTAGTGAAAGGGTTTTTGGATGGAGCTGCAGATTTCTTAACAGGAGGCCTCAGAAGACAAATGGAGTCCTATAGAAAACAGGAGGAATACGACAAAACACTCCTTCGGAACCTGACAAACCCCGATAGTTATTACAAGATTATTGGAGAAAAAGATGGGAGTGGAGGGACGATCGATTTCACCCAAGGCATGCTGTCAAGTTTTGGCGGTTATATAAACTTCAGGCTCAACGACAATAACCGAGCTACGTTAGAAATCGGTGACGTCTCTGGCAGTCATAAAACAATACGTAAGACATTTACAGTTGGTTCTGATGTTAAGAACATCGTGCTTGGGATAGGAGAGTCCAGGACTTTCGAATACAAACACGAAACTGCAAAACTCTGGTTTTTTATTCCAATTAAGTCGTATGATGTAATTTGTGGAGCTAATCTCCATGAGAAATCTGTTTACGGCACTTATTATGGAAACTCCAAGAATAACACATTTTATGCCGTACAGCATCAAAAGCCGACAACAAAACCCCCTGGAAAAAAAGATTCAGATTGTAACTTTGGCAAGTTAAATGTTAACTTTGTTACTGGAAACTATCATTACAATCTGTATGGGCGGGGTGGCAGCGACACCTTTTACTTAGGACCTGAAATGTCTGCTGTTACAGGAGGCTCGGGTAGTGACCTCTACATTATCCAGTCGGACGGCGGAAAAACAGTCATCGATAACTTTGCTGAAGATGACTTGCGCGACATCGTTGTCATAAACGTTAACTATGATAACATCCGATGTCATCAGAGTAAAACTGATCTTGATGTCACTTATTCCCAGAGCCATCACATTCGTATCACCAACTGGTTCATTCCCGGAGATCCTACATATTACCGTCATGTCTCGTTTCGTAGTCTGGACGGGGTAATTTTTGTTCCAAAACAAGTTTTAAATAGCGATGGTGTTCAGGTTGTTCAATGTGTGGCGGTGGCTCTAGATCTAGGTACAGCAAGAGGTGATCAAACGATTTCACTCAATGATCGGAAATACAGTCAAGTGAAACAAGTATCGGGATCGAACGGAACCGATCATATTGTTGGCAACGATGTCAATAACATCCTAGATGGGAGTCGTGGTGCTGATCACCTGACCGGGGGAAAAGATGAAGACACCTACATTATCAGAGCAAATGAAGGCTGCGATGTTATTGACAATAATGCAGAAGATTACTTAAACACCACTGACGTTATTGTCTTTGACGTACCCTTTGAAATGATAGACATTCAAACAGTAGGTAATGACTTGTCTGTAACTGACAGAAACAATGCACAGAGCTCGTGCTTTACCATAACCAACTGGAAGTTAGGATACCGATACCGGCATGTGCTATTTACCTCCGGAGATCATGTTGTATTTAACGTTACTACCAGTGAAAGCGGACGAGTATCCAAAGTACCAATCATGTTGGACTACAAAAATTCCGCCACCGGAATCTGTGTTGATTTATCGGATTCCCCAAGCCCAGACTGTGTCAAACCACCTGGTTACTCCAATGTCGCCACTGTGTCCGATTCCCCACACAATGACCGCGTAGTTGGAAATGCACAGACAAACTTTTTGAGCTGTTCTGGAGGAGAAGATTATCTCGAGGGTGGGAAAGGCACTGACAACTATGTAATTAAGAAAACATGTCAAAGAGCAATCATCAACAACTTTGACAATCGCCAGAAGGTCGATTTGTTGTACATAGAGGAAACATTTGTGAACCTGCGACTGCAGAAGGACAATAACCATTTGAGGATTGTCTCAAATTATGAGACACCAATCATAACACTTCATAATTGGTTTGACTCGGCTGACAACCAGCATCTTGGAATACGAACTGTTGATGGGATTACGTCAAGACTAAATAGTAAGACGGTGAAATTCGAGCCATACGAAGTATCTAAGGATCCGACTGAATGTCAATGCACGCGTGCAGGGTGCGACACTGGAGTAATACCATACAATCTGGAGAATGAGCCTTGGAAACACGTAGTCCGTTTCCAATTGAAATCAAGTCACTGTAGTTACAGAATATACGGAAATAATCTTAATAATTACCTCGACCCCGGAACAGGCAATGGTTATAATTATCAGCATCTGGAGGGAAAGAACGGATCGGACACTTACGTGTTTAATCACGGGTATGGAGAGTTTAATGAAATTAACAATTATGCGGACGACGACAAGACGGATACCCTCATGCTTGGAATAGAATTTGATGACATTCGTGTGTATTTTCATGGCCAAAATGATGTCATTCTGGAATCAAACACACGACCTAGCTCACTAAGTGTTCGCATTCTTGATTACTTCCGTGGTGTAAAGTATCAGCACCTTCAGATTATATCAGCGGACAAAGTAGTCTTTAATATTTCAAAACAGTATCCATGCAGAATGATAATCGCTGTCGACCGAAGAATTGTCGATTCGCCACAACGTATTGATCCTAAAACGACTAGTATACTTGCAGCTGCGGAAGATTTAAAGGGATCGCTGACCTCTGAGAACATTCTGACCGGCACCAACACGACACGAGAAATCGAAGGTGGAGCAGTGGCTGACACTCTACGTGGCGGAGACACAGGAACAATTTTTGAAGGAAAACAAGGTAACGACACAATTTATGGTGGTGCTGGTAATGATATAATTTTCGGTGGGGATGGCGATGACGTTATATATGCCGGCCCTGGAGATGATTACATTTATGGTGGGAATGGTGCGGATATCATCGATGGTGGCAATGGCACTGATACACTTGCTTTCAAAGGTGACGGCTCTCTTCGCAAGGGAGTCACTATTGATCTCATTATTGGAATTGGAAAAGAAGGTGATGCTGAGGGAGATAGCTACAAGAGCATTGAAAACGTATATGGGACGATTCACAACGACTCTTTGATCGGATCCGATTCTGATAACAAACTTTATGCCCTTGAAGGCGAAGATACGCTTTCTACTCGTGGTGGCGATGATAAACTTGTTGGCGGCGAAGGGAAAGATTTGTATTTACTCTATAAGGCTTCGGGGTTGAAAATAATCGACAACTACGCAAATGATGAGATTGAAGATACCCTCTCACTGGCGCATTTGAATTCTACTGATATTTGTATTTACTTAGTCGGCAACGATTTACATCTACAAGTTGATGAGTCTAATTTAGCCTCCGTTCTTTTTTATGGTGAGCTTTTGACAGTGATAATTAGAAACTGGAAAGTGAGTGTCAAGTACAGACACCTCAAGGTGTTATTTAATGACACTTTGTGGGAAGGATTCGCTTTGTCGGCCATCGCTGCAAGATTCGACAAGCTGAACAATAGTGTCAACTACATCGAAAGGAGCACCAAACTGCAGGTTGTGTCTTCAAACGACACAAGTGTAAGCCTAACATGGCACCAATCAAGCGGTCTTTTGTCACATCCAAAAACTGAGCTTTACCTTGTGCATTTTCAACGACAGGACCCGGCCAAAACCCTAAAAAAAGCACAAGTGGATAGTCAAACATCGCTGACCGTGTCATCTCTTGAACCAGGTTCCCATTACGTCTTCGCTCTCGCATTAACAAAGTGCAACGCAACAATTGCAGTCTCCAACACACTTTTGACCTATGGTCGGAAAAGATCCTGCTCCACAGCACATGTACCACACTCGTCTGTAGAGTATACTCCATCTAATTCCGCATCAACTCCAGGTCACGGCACAATCGCTGATGTGAAATGTAATACGGGGTATAACATTTACATCGACCACACTGAACAAAATGCAACGTGCTTAGACCAAGAATGGATTCCCGCCCTTCCTGTTTGTAAAAAAATAAAACAGTGTCCTGTTCTCACGAAGCCGAGTAACGGAGAGGTTTCTAGTGACGGACATCACGAGGGATCAAAAGCTTATTATGTTTGCCACAAAGGATTCGAGCTTAATGGACCTAAGGAACGTATCTGTGTGGATGAAGCCTGGGATGGGACAGTTCCTAACTGTCAGCCGCTAAATTGCCCACGACCGCCAACTGTTGATAATGGATCGTACCTTCCCTGTGACTATATAAGACACACAAATAGGTATGGCACGTCGAACAATCCCCTCGAAGGCTACTGTGTTAAAATTCACTGCAACAACTTATATCTTCCAAGTCACGTATTTTCTGGGAAGACGAATCGTCTCCGATGGGAAAGTGACTGGGAGATACCGCAAGGCGGACGAGTTTGCAACGATGGAAAGTGGATTGGATACGTAGATGACACGTGTGAGCCTATTGCCAGACTCGTCGGAGTACAGGATCAGTGGAATAGGAAAAGTGGCTTACTTCAACTTTGGCAAGGCGGAGCGTGGACGACTGTTTCGTCTACTCCAGCACAGAACATTCTTACCCTGTCTTGCAGAAGTGTGGGCATAAATCATCCCGAGGGTGTAACGCTCAGCTCAAGCAATTCCCAAGTACGGGTAACATGCTCTAAGCTGCGTTTAGCTCAACCAATGCCAACCAGATATGAAGGACGACTTGAAGTATTAAATAACGGCAACTGGGAAGGAGTATGTGTCACGGAAACAGGAACACCCGCAAGTCATTCTGCAAGCATGGAGATTTGTGAATCACTGGGCTTTAACTACATATCTGCGATTGTGAGCATCGCAACAGGTTGGACAGACCATAGGCTTATTTGTTCACCGTAAGTAAATGATTGATGTATGTATTCAGAATAACAAAGGGTCGACTGAATGGAAGATATGTTAAATACGAACATGACGCCGGCCAGGACGCCTGTTTACAGGATAAAGTTTTTTTAATGAGCTGACTGTGTTTGTTTGAGGGCCTACCTAGGTAAAGGGCCAATGCAAAATTCAGTTGAGATCAGAGTAACTGTCTAGATACGTTTTGATAGACAAGCTCACTTGCCTTTCTTTTGCAGGTATATCTGGTCTTATTGCAGTTACAACAAAAAAATAAGCTCAGCGGCTATTGTGTTAATCGTGCTGTGTGACATAAGTAATTTAACAACAGTTGAGCAGGAAACCTTGCGTGAATGAATGCATGAAGCATCGCACTAAAAAGCGAATTTCAATACTACTACGAAGAATATTGAAAGTACTTTACGCGTCTGAGCGCATCGTGTAAAAATTCTTTAGCCTCTCAATGCATAAATGAAAGCTGCGATATTTTACAGTTCACAAGAGGGTACTCATTTGCTTATTACTCGTCTTGGTTTGTGTGTTTTCAACTCTTAATAAGTGTCTGTGTATTTCTTTCAGAACAACCCGAGTTGTTCTCCTTAGAAACGGAAAAAGGTAAATTATACATGTGCTCACTTTCATTTGTGTTTTTTGAAAACGTTGGTATTTTGAAAAGTGAGTAAATGTGTTGGTCCTTTAACTCTCAAGATTTGATTATTAATTCTTTCTGGCTGTACAGTTCCTTGCACTATTAGTTAAAGGAATTTGGGGTTATATCAAGATAACACCCCCTGGCTGACAAAGTTGCCTGTCTGTTGGGCAGTATATTGATATTATAAGGAGACGAAGTTGAAGGTTTAAACGTATCTTTCTGAAGGTTAGATTAACATTGCTAACGTGACTGTCTTCATGATTGTGGGAAAGACGAGTGCTGGCACATGATGCAAAGGTAGGCTTATCCTAGTGTATTTGAAGAATTTCCTTTGTAGTGATTCATTCTGGGTTTTATATTTGTTCCAGACAAACTGTTTATCGCCTTGTTGGAAGCAGTAGGTAGGTGATTCAAGGACTAATGATGACCAAAAAGACTTAGATGCTTTCCTCCGCTTGTAATAAACTTACAATTACGGGTGCTCTAATTGCCCTTACTGTCCCTTTTCAAGACAATTGACGATTCCCTTTGAAAATGTCCGACCTAAAAATTCAATTAGAACGATAACAGAAAGCTGCTGAATGTTAACGTAATCTTGTCACGTGGTTCTAGATGTAATAGCCAACAACGAAGTTCATTTCTGTCACGTGATGTTAGTTCGTTTAGCAGAAATTTTCCCTCCAGCATTTGTTATTGCAACATTATGAGGATCTAGAAGAAACAACTAAGTGTTTGCTTGAAAGATGAAAAATGTAAAATGACTTATGGAATTGAAAGACTACGTCTTTGACTGTATATCTCGATAAACCAGTAGGTGCACTTTGAATGGGCAGCGGCAAAGCTGTGGTAACATGGTACGATGCAGACAAAGATGTACAGACAGTTTCCCAGTACCCCACGGTTATGTTACATGCACGGAACGTTTTAATTATGAAGGCGATACGTGCACGGTTCATTGCAATAACGATTATAAACTCAAAGGAGTATCTAGAGTTTATTGTAAAGGAGGAGTATGGACCAAGCAGGATGGGACAACCGCTTCAGCCCGCTGTGAATATATAGGTATGTATCAGAAGATTACGATTACAGAATGAATTTACAGGCATAGCAAAGGATGAAATGAAAGTTTGCTAAAATTATACTATTTCACAGGTTAGAGACGGAGTCATAAGGACATCAACTTAGCTTTTATTGTGAGTTGTGTGCGGTGTTTATATCGATTAGTGGAACTTCACTGCTTGTTCGAACATGGCAATCGGCGGTCTTTCCTCCTTCATCAAGGCAACATCGAAAGCCGTAAGAATCCAGATCAAAAGTTCATTTTCCAAATTTCCTATTGAATCAATAAACTCTTTTTTCGGCTAATTTATTCTTGTTTTTCATGTCACCATGTTTCCGCAAATAGCGTAACTCACCAATCGATATATAACCACACGCAACCCACAATCCCTTGATTCGTTCTGAAGCTGAGCAAGCGCTCTGAACGTCAGCTCTTTAATGTTACCATTAATGGTGGGAATTTACTTTGTCAATTCTGTTGCTAAAACTGGATTTTGTTCCACTCCACCACCGACTCAGCATCACAGATGCTTTACAAACTAACCCCCTTTTAGCTTTTATTCAATTTGATATATGTTTCTCGAGGTCAAAATACCGTGCCAAGATCCCGGGGCTCATAATTTTAGCCAAAAGTCAAAGATATCGTTTTGCTGAAGTCCATATTTATCATATCCTCCTTACTTCTTTCAGACACTCTGTACAAGGATGAAGTCATGAGCCTTGTATCTGCTCATAGCGGCAAAAGCCGCCACGATTTAGCCGTATTCCTAAGAGATTATTTGGTGCGAACCTATCCCAGTCAATACTGGGTGGTTACCGTGTATGATCCTGTTAAAGGTTTTGAAAATCACGCTTTTAATGGCCATGACACCCGAATCGGCTGGAAGTTAAGGCATGCGGGTGTGAACTATGTTGTTACAAAATATCCTAAACATTCTGCTCGCTCTCCTGTAGTGTCCCTCTCAGAAGCAGTGGGCTCGCCCACTGGAAATCACGCTGAACAGGTTCTTAATAGTATTAAAGATAGGTTTCGTGCCCGTGGTCTAAGTTGGGCTTCGATACACGTCGTGAAGAGTAGAAGGTCCGAGGGTTGGTGGCTTGGTGAACGTACCATTGAAATGACGTTAACCACTTCACCATCTATTCTTTCCCGAAACTACTTCTGGAAGGAGTTTTCGAATGTTATTGTCATCGCCGTTGCTCCCTACTGAAAGAACGGAATTCTCTGCTAACGTCCCAGTCCTATCAAAAGACAAGTTTAACAAATTAAGCTAGGTTTAGCAAAATGAAATTGATAACTTAACTAAGGGTCCGTTTCTCTAGGAGAATCTAAGATCGGATTTTTGATCTTAGATCATGCGGACTGTTTACTACCAAAGAAACGAAAAATCCAAAAAGGGATTTTTGCCTTTACTTGACAACAGCGTGCTTGGTGGTTGTTTTGAAAAAGGCAGCTAGCCAATATTTATTCCTCGTGGACAATTTACCGCAGCAACAGCTCCTTCTATGACCAGAAGATGAGGTAGTAGCATTGAACAGATGGTAAAGACGAAAAGTTCCGAAAATTAAAGAAATAAAAAGATCGGTTGTACTATTTACCTCCCGTGAACTTGTGAAGCACCGAGTGTGGCGACGAATGGCTGCTATTTGCGTTTGAAATCCCTCTAGAGTTTATGAAATTTGTGTAGCAGTGAAATATCTCCTAAACAATCACGATTTTCTTTAACTTTTAAGTCAATTCTACGACCAAAGTTGCATTGAAAACCTACCATGATCGTTCGCCACGTTTGGTGGACTTTTCACGAGAAAACCGCTCGCCAAACGAATTTTCTTCGGATCCGTTCCCAAAGAAACGCACAGATCACGAATCCTAAAAATCCGGATTTAGATTGTATCTAATGAATCCACTCGGAGTGTGGATTCTTCAGATTCATGATCCATTTTTGGATTTTAGTAAAGAAATGCAAAATCCGTTTTTGGATCTAAGAATCCGGATTTGGATTTTCGCAAAGAAACGCACCCTAAGATTGATTACACAAAAAAACCGCCATCATATGAAAACCATGCGATAATGAACCTGCAGGATAAAATTTTGGCAATCAACTCTCCATTATGGGAAAACTTGCTTACTCAAAAATTTAATATGATTTTGAAGTTCAGGATAGATTTTCAATTAATTTCTCCCCTGTAACTGTGTAGTTTAGAATGATTGGCCGGGCGTGAATTGTTGATTAACGTAATTTAGTTTTGTTGTAGTGTATTGAGCATAACGAACCTGAAATAAACCAGGGAATCTGGAGCAAACAGTGTGTTTTCTTACCAAAAGTAATTTAAAACCAGTGCGAGATACCTGTTCACTTGAACAGAAGGAGGGTTTTGCTAATTTCTGTTCACCTCTTGCAGCTCACAGAGAGGCTTACTTATTTTCTCTTGCTTGTTGACTAAAGAAACCCCATGACACTGAATAATGTCATGAAATTATAAAGTAATAAGAGCGTAGAGAACCACATGTGACGCCGAGTGCGCGCTCTCATCACTGCGCCAACCCTACTCCTTAGGAATTCATGTTTTAAGAAATCGCATTTTAAGGTGGTTCACATCGGTTCCAGCCCCTTCTAGGGGGGGGGGGNGCATACCAAGAAGTAGAAAAATGATCATCGGCGAGGTAATACCGTTTGTATAATAAAGGAACGAAAATCTCATCGATGGTCATCGGCGAAGTAATACTGTCTATATAATAATGGAACGAAAATCTCGCCGATGATCATTGGCGAGGTAATATTGTCAGTGTAATAAAGAAACGAAAATCTCGCTGATGATCATCGGCGATGTAATTCTGTCTACGTAGTAAAGAAACGAAAATCTCACCGATGGTCATCGGCGAGGTAATACTGAATGATGTATTGCCAACTGAGAAAACAATAGATTTAATACATACAACCACTATTTTGATTCACTATTTGTTCAAGGCTAAGTAAACAAAGCATGGTTTTCAACATCGCATTATAATTCCTTTTTTTTCTTATTTCACAGGAGAAGCAGAAAGTGACTATGTTGTGTTTTTATAGCCTGATATAAACACTCGATCGAGTTTGAAAGAACTTTTTTAAAGGACCAACCCCAAAACCATTAAACCCAACCTGGCAGAACCTCTGACCCAATCCCTGTCCCCCGAATCCAAACCTCTGTCCAGATCTGAGCTCCTTTCCCCCGACTTAACTCCAAATCTGCCAACAAAATCCAAACCCCTATCCCCCAAATCCAAGTCTCCATTACCCCAACTCCAAACCCTTGTTCTCCAAATCCAAGCCTGCATCTCCCCAATGCAAACCCCTGTTCCTCGAATCCAAGCGTCTGTCTCCCAACTCCAAACACTTGCCCCCTCAGGCCTAAACATAGTAAGTAGAGGGGATTGGTTATGAAGACCGGCAAACTTCAGAGAGATGGGTTATTGTTTGAGTTTTTTGAAGTCTCATGACAGTGACCGCGCACACACAAATTCAAGATGGCGTCGTTTGCGAACTATATGGTCATTTGACGTGTTCTAAACGCTAAAAAAATGTAGTTCTGTCAGCTTGAATGGTTTTCAAAAGTTCATCATTTCGAAAGTAAAATGCCCGACGATAACTGTTCGGTTTTTGGTGCGGTACGTGTCGGGGGACGAAAGGAATCGGCATCTGGAAACTGCCCTCTGCACCAAATGCCGAATTCAAGAAGTGGCGAGAAGAGTGGCCGAGTGAGATCCCCTATCCCACTATTAGGTACATGTGAAATGATGGGGATTATTTGATGTGGCAACACATAGTTCAGCTGTTTTACCAAGATGTTGAGAGTGATTTGAAGTTGATGCCCAGATAACTTATGATCACATTAATCTGAATTCCTATTCAACCATGCGTGTAAGTCTGGCAGCCCAGATACTGAGTTCTGCTGTGGCAGACTTACGAAGGCCTGCAGATCTCAGCCTATTCAGCTGTAGAGGCAACAAAGTTTCTTCTGAATGAAGGTGTAGAGTATGCCTTAACTGAGAGGTTCTGCCAAGACCCTTTAGACAAATACTTTCGAAACCAAAGAAAGCTGGGAAGAAGAAATGGCAACCCTGACATGAAGATGTTTGGCTACAACAACAACACCATCAGAGTACAACGGTGGCGTCTCCTGCCAGTCTGGGAACACGCGTGGAAGGAAAGACAGAGACAGATCATGGGTCAAGGTTTCAAATGACCCAGTGACAAAGAGAAAGAAACAATGATTGCCTTATACATAGTGTCAAATTTATTTTATTTTACGGGGGGAGGGTGGGGGCTTTTAGTCCCCATCCTCAATGTTTCACAAGGATGATGTTTTATTTTGTTTTACTATGAGGTACCAGAGCTCCTTACAAACTTGCATATCCGGCCCTCGTTTTCAAGCCCCCC